AAAGAGAGATAGAGAGAGAGATAGAGAGAGAGATAGATAGATAGACATACATAATGATAGCTTCTTTGTCCATTTTTTATAGGCTGTCGTGTGTTCTACATTTGCTTAATAACGTAGTTAAGCACTTTCTTAATGAAGATATAATCGATAATGCATATGATATGGTGCCATTAGAAATATCGCTAGAAACAATGAACCTCGCTAACAAATTAGTCAACTATTTTGCTGAACAGAGGGAAACATTTTTGATGGTAAGCATAGATACCAGTTAAATTAATTACCACATACAAGTATATTAGTGTTAAAGAGTTGTAAATGGTTTAAATTAAAAATAATAATGATAATAAATTAAAATTATTTTGATAATTTTTTGATTATTTTAAGTTTGCATGGCGATAAAACATATAATTAAGTTTTGTTTGTGGAAACACCACGTTAATAATAAATTAATAGATAAATAAATAAATTAATATTATTATATTATGCAGTAATAAATTTATGTGCATGGTGTTTCCACAAACAAAACTATTAGATGCTCTCAGCGAATAATATATATTTATTACAAGCTTTTGGCGATCTGTACACTTAATGGCAGCTTAGGTACGGTATGTCGAATTATATAAAATATATATATAATATATATATATATATATATATATATATATTTAAGATGAAAATGTTCTAGAGTGTGTATTATATAATTTCCATACCCAGCTAATTTCCATATATATATCAATATATATCAATCACATAATTACACCAAACAAAGTATAGAAATAATTTTTTTTATCGGGCAATGTGCCGTGGATACCTGAATTTTGTTAACTGTATTGTTAATAATATTTATATCAGTTAATGGTCCCTATATAGTAGTGATAGCTATAGTTGAGGGATTTCTCGCATGCAAGAAATCTGATTGCTGCATTGGGCATCTCACTCGACAAGAGGTAAATTAGTCTGAAAATCTTACCGTTATAGAATCCCAAAATCCCAAGAAATCTTTAAAATTGTATAAAATACTTGGAAAAACCCAAATTGCAATATTGAAAAATCCCATCAAATTTTAAATTTTTAATCTTGAATTGGCGTGAAAACGCTCCTTCATTGATTTACTTCGTTTTAAAAAATTCGATAGATTTCATTGCGGACAAAGTTCGGCGAAAAAATACATGTAAGGGAAAACATTTCAAGAATAATCTGAAAAAAATCCGAAAATCCCTTAAATTTTAGCAAAAAAATTCCAGAATCTCGAGAAAAATGGCCTGGGATTTTCTAATCCCAAAAATCTTCGTACGCTTTTTTCAGATTAATTTATCCCTCTTCACGACACTCGATATGTATACTTCATTATTGGCTACAAAATAATTTGCCAGTGAAAATGTTTCTGGTAAATTCAGTTGTAAGTTTGCATAGTTGTAAGTTTGCATAGTTGTAACTCAACATAATTCATAAATATAAATTTATACTACAGCTTTTTTAATCAAAAAGTTGGCTTGTTCGTTTATTTATTGTCTCCGCAGTTTTTCTCTATTCTTCGAATAACTTTCTCAATTCGTTGAAGAGAACGTGTCCGAACAGGTAATACTTCCAATGATTTGTTTGCTGCAACTATCTCTACAATATCGTTGTACAGGTTTGTTACTCTTTTGGCATCATATAACAAACATAAAAATGAAAAATAGTTAACTATTGAAACAATAATAAAGTACTCTAAAGCGTTTGGCTTTTCGTGCTCTTGTGGAAATATCTTCATTCTTTTTTCTGGAGATGTCTTAATAGGATTCATTCCCCGTTTCCGTGTCTGTCGTCAACATTTTAAAGCGTTGTCCTGGGTCATTACCTCGTCTTTGCATGCAGTGCCCCCGCACGCCCCATTGCACCTGCAATTCCGGGAACACTTCGAAAAAGGAACAAGACAGCCACACCGACTTTTGTATTTCCTCGTTTTTTTTAAACTTTTTCCATAGATTCGCGTTTTTTATTTATGCCACATCGACAGTAATTTCTAGGTTTAACGTTCTTGTTATGTTTTAAAACGTTCTTGTTAGGGTTCACATTCTTGTTGGACGAAATATCTGCTGTATTGTCATTTGTATCGCCGACCGTTTTTGAGCCATCATTTGTACAGCTGTCAGAAGGACTATGTTTTGAGGGAATCGGGGCATCATAATGGCCTGGCCCGTCATTCCTATAAGCCAACAGTAAAGGAGGCATGCAGTCAACATTGTAACGGGGGGAAACCGTTGTGAAAGGAACTAAATTATGCGGTACAAATATTAATATCGGGAGTTGTAACACATTGGCCATGGCTAAGGGCATTGCGTCACCTAAACTGGTAGAATAATGACCGTCGGTGAGGAACTCCTGAGCGTCATCTTCAATGGCAGCATCAGTCATGAAAGCTTGGTATTCTGATATAAACGGTCCTGTCCACTCATCGACGATTAGTCTACGAAGAAAATTTGCCAAACTTGGTATGGTCTGCTCACAATTAATTCCTATAGACTCTAAATAATTTGTTGTGCTGGATTCACTGCTACTATCGGAAACAAGTTGATGAAGATGAAAAGCTACGGCTGTGAAACAGCAATTACCGTCACCTGGAATATCTACGACTTGGAAACCCCAAGCACTTGCAATGTGCTCCAGTGTATTATCTTGTGCACTAGGGTTGTATACAGAGTTCAACATTACAGGTTCTTTGTCAGGTGTAAAATCAACGAGTCCGGTTGCCAGTGTCCCAGGATTTTCGCCCCTCGGGGGGCGAAATTCCTAGGAATATCACCCCCCAGGGGGGCGAAAATCCTAGGAATTTCGCCCCCCTTTAGGAAATTCGCCCCCCTTTAGAAACTTCACCTTTTCTTTAGGATTTTCGTCCTCCGTTCAAAGTTTCACCCTTCCTAATAGTTACATGGGATAATTATTACATGGCTTTAATCATTTGAATCAGTATCAATTCAAAATTGTTAAGACAGAGCCTGAAATAACAACCGATCACCGATCAATGATCGGCAAGGAAAAGCAGGGTTTCGGTTTCCAACCTGAAAAAAGCAGGGAAAGCTTAAGTCATGACTACCGATCACCATGATTGTGAACTTTGGGAATGTTATTTCAAGACCTTACAATTACATGTATCGAAAGGGCTTACACAGTTACAGTAGATCAATAGGGCTTATGACGCTTCACAGCACACGCATATTTTGCATTTTCAGTGTTAATCCTTAAACTCATTGTTAAAAAGTAATCACCGTGCTGGTTATTGTAATTATTGGTATTGATTTGCATCCACGTTTTGTCGTTATTGGAAAATGTGTGGCTTATAAGTTGTCACTATTTTTACTTGCATTCATTCAATACAGTTTGTAAATCTCAGAAGCGAAGGGTAGAACTTGCCAGTAGGCAATACTCCAATAATATACGTTTCAAAAAAGACAAAAAAACTTTTAGTTTTGCAGAGTTACATTCTCAAATGTTTGAGGCACTAATAAAATCAAAGTATTATGAAATTATTTGAATAAACCACACCACATATATAATGCAATTTTCTTTGCGAAAGTCAAGAATCAAGATTACATCACTAACCGGACATGGAAAGTTGATGATTCAATGGACAATAGTCAATATGCTTTCCACACATTCCATAGATTTTTTATTAATCCTATAGTTTATTGTTAGCAAGTGATTACTGTGGCGGCTATTGTTAACACTGGTATTGATAAAATTTGCAAGCGATTGTTTTTATAATATGTTATGTCAATGTAAACTGCCAGAAGAATACGACAACATGATTTTATGCGATCTCTGGGGGCAATGGTTTTACTTTAGATGTGTAGAATATGAGACCAGTCTAAGTACCTCAAATGAGTGGTTATGCCGACTGTGCACACCACCAGCTGCTAAGAAACCTAAAATGTATATGTAAGTTTGTCTCCTTGTAATAAATAAATAAATAATTAAATCACACAATCTTTTCAACTTGCAATCGTTGATAGATCAAAAATTCAAAATTTATATGGGGGGCGAAATTCCTAAAGGGGGGCGATATTCCTAGGAGATTTGCCCCGGGGGGGGGGCAAATATCCTAGGAATATCGCCCCCCTTTTGAGAGGGGGGGGGCGAATCTCCTGGGGGGGCGAATCTCCTGTGACACCGGATTCCTAGTGTTGATCCCAATTGTTTCATAATCGACAACTTTCTTTCCAAACGTTTTACTCAACTGGATATAAGTTCGCCATAAACAAATTGCGTTGTGCAAAATATTCAAACTGTTTATTTGATCTTTAATCTCAACTTGATCTTCAAGAACAGCATAGTCATGTTCAATAAAGTTTTTATCAGTTTGCAGTGATGACAATGATTCTTTATGCTTCTCAGCTGCAAGCAATGCCTGGATATTTCTAGCGACTTCCGTTACATTGCTGTCACTGAACATGTTTATATTAACTTGGTTTTGCTTCCTCTCGATATTCTTGCAGTTTCCTAAAGTATCCTCAATCGCAAATGATTCATGTCTTACATGACTATTTGCGTCGTTTGAATTTGCCGTAGCATCATCTGACAGTGAAGGAGACGTGAACATATCTTTATTGACTGTGTCCATACTTTTGAGCTTAGAAAACAACCTAAAACATCTGGCATATGCTAAAGATGTACTAATTTTATTGTTGAGTAAAAATTCATTTAAATGCCTGTGTTAGAACCATAGAACCACAGAACCACAGAACCATAGAACTATAGAACCATAGAACTATAGAACCATAGAACTATACAACTATACAACTATACAACTCTAGAACCATAGAACCATAGAACCATAGAACCATAGAACTATAGAACCATAGTACCATAGTACTGTTACGTATATAGGAGACTGGTGACTACTATAATTTGTGACTGTGTGACATGAAAATATAACCACATTTTGCCTCAAGATAAAAATTCAAAATGGCGTGTTCTTATATAATTTGAATGGTAATAATGTAAAATTGGTATTTTGATAACTTACGGTTGAGAAATCCAAAATGTGCACGTCTAAATCTTCACCGATTTTGTCAAACTTTGTCCGTAAAAATTGGGTACGACTCAAGTTGTCCAAGTATGTTCCCGAGCAATCAATATATTTGTCTATAGTCTCTGTATAGCAAAGTATGTGATTTCAACACATTATTAGGTATTTTGCAGGTCCAATTTCAACTTGTTCTTTGCAGATATCGTCAAATGTGCACGTCTGAATTGCTTCGTACAGTATTTCTCTTTATTATTATCACTTGTATGCAGGGCGCAAAATGACAGCTGGAGGATCGCCGGTCAAGGTGACCGACCAATTCAATTTTAGCTCAGACATACCGAATTTCTGGCGGTCAAATTATTCAGCTTAAAGCATAGTAAAGTATACCCCTAAAAATGTGACTATTTTCCCAGTACAGCATTACAAAAACTGAGCCTTGTAATCGGAACCGAACTGAACTGTAATCAGTAATTAAAAACTCCTTCACATAAAACAACTTGCACTGCACTAAAACAATGGCCTTAATTAACTCTTAAGCCAAAAGCATGGCCATGGGCTTTGTGACGTACTGCGTGGGAAAGCTGGCATACATTGAAGTTCTTTTCCTGCTAGATATTGGACAACATGTTATGGTTCTTAATTATAATGCTTGACAACTTTGTTTTGATTATTAATTCAAATGAAGATCAGTTGTTTGTTTTTTTACCGAAAGTGATCGGTCAAAATGACCGGCAAGGTAAGAATTTGAGCGGACAATTCCGCATTCTGGCCGGACATTGTCCGTTGACCGGCCGTTATTTCGTGCCCTGCTTGTGTGAAGCGTAAAAGTGTACAGTAGTATGTTCCTCAAAGCGATGAATTGCATGTATTTTGTAGAGAGGCATTTGTCCAGTTGTGATGAGAAATGCACCATATTTTGAACAAAAATATCACACATTTCCATCAAAAGTTATATTTCTTGTCTGCCATTCGGCCATTGCTTTTATAAAGCTGTTGCTATGTTATAATGGTTCTAACCGCTGTCATTATAGGCTGCAGTCTCGTAAACATCCTAAAATTAGCGGGATTTCACAGTAATTGAAAACATTTATAACTATTGGTAAACTTTTGAAATTTGAGCATTGATCAAGACTCGGTTGGCATAAAGTCTGTTATATTTTATAATTTTGCTTGTTTTCTATATATTTGGCTGTATTTGCAATGTCGGATGTTCTGCCTTTGTGCTCTATGCATACTTATTTGCAATGGAAATTAAGTGTTGAAAGCCATTCATTAGCATATACTGCTGAAGCCACAACCAAAGATATATTGTTTGCTGTGGATATTCCATTCCCACACTACTGAGAGCCTGGTACAACCTAGTGATGTTGAAAAAGCCCTTCCAGACATCCTGCACCTGTGATCCTAAGAAAATAGGCATCAACTTGCCCTCAAATTTTCCACAGTTTACATATGAGTGGTTTGAATTTTCAATTCCTGAAAATTAATTTGGTCTTACACATGATCAAGTTGTGCGGTCAGAAATAAATAACTCTCTTCGGGTTATGGTGGCAAAAGTGTAGAGTATGGCAAAAGTAGGAGGAAAAAACTACAACTGGATTTAAGGGGGTCTTCCACCCTAAAAACATTTTTTTCAATTTAAAGGTTTTATCATCATATTTGAGTCAAATATGATGGAATATCCTCAGCTGACGCAGGATCAGTAACTTTTACATTCGTCGTTGCCATAGTAACTAAGATAGGCCTCGCTATAGGGTAAAATATAGGGTTTGCTCCAAAAATGATGTGAGCCAAACTAATTTACCGAGGATTTTAGAAACAGCTTTAATGGACACTTAATACATCGATCTATGTCATGAACCTAAAAAATATACAAGTAATATAATAAGGCCTTCATATTTTACTTTTTTAAAAATTATATGAAGAAAGGAGTTCTTATAAGGCTACTCTTGCAATGTATATTGCTGATATATGAAGTTTTTTAGGTCCATGACATGGCTATGTAACAAGCAAATAAACTCTGAAAATTTCGAACGAATTGATTCAGTATGAACAGTAGGAGAGTTTTTAGTATTTCGCAAAATGCTCATGTGAGAAAAGCGTATATATTACAATTTTGCATATATTACAATAATTTAGATAGAACAATATAATTGAAAATGGAACAATAGACTAAACCAATCACATATCTTTATCGCTCCGGGTAAAATTGTGGTTTTACCCTACGAAGGTGTAGAATTTGCTGGATTTCTCTGGTTTACGGTACATTTTCGTTCTTAAAATTACACAAATTTTATAAAGAACACTATAAAGACTACATTTTTACGTTTTTCTAAAAAATAATGAATATTGGAAAATTTGGGTGGAAGACCACCTTAAAGGCCAAAAGGTTCCATATATTTGATGGACAAACTATTTCCATTAAACAACTCGAGGAAGAAAACACACTTATTCATGACGAGATGCAAAAGTGGAAGGAAAGAAACAGCAACTTGGAGTCGGAAATGAAGAAACTATATTATGAAATGGGGATGGCATTGGAAGAAAAGGATGAGAAAATTGAAAAACTAGAAACAAAAAAAAATTGAAACGATATATTGAACTTCTAGAAAAATCTGAAAAGATGGAACACCAAGGAAAAGATATCTCAGAAACAAAGAAAAAGTCAAGGATGCTCAAAACATTTTTGTCACAGGCAGAAACTGCTTTATGGTTCGCAAGATCTTTTGGACTGGAATTGAAAAGTGTAACTGATAAAGAAGTCAAGTTATTTCTCATAATTTAACGATGGAAAACAATGTAGTTACTGGTAGCACAGAGAACACTGAATTTGATGCTCTCTCAGAGGATGATAAGGATAAGGTATAAAAAGTTCTGTTTCTCTTGGATAAGTTCTGTGAGGGGGATGCTTTTTACCATGAGATAATCATGCTGGTAGATGGCTTGCCAAAGTCCTATTTAATTAAGCAAAGAAGAAGCCAACTTAAAATGTACCATATAACCTCAACACCCGGGGAAGACCATGGAGCACAATTTCCATTCAAGGAATTGTTATGAAATAGGATAAAGGAATATTTAATTTAATACTCACCCAAATGCTGTAAAAAACAATGAAACAATTAAAGTTAAAAGAAGGAAGACCTTGCCACCTTGAACTGGCTAAACATTAGTAAAAGGATGGATTTTAATATTTTAAAATTAGCATATAAAGCTTTACATGACGATTCTTTTCCAGAATATTTAAGATTATCGCTACATTGCATTAATGCATATAGTCTAAGATCATCTTCTGCACCTGTCCAGGATATTCCCAAGCAGTCAGGAAAATTTCACGACTCAGCAGCCTCCATTTTTAATAAGCTTCCGACAGAGAACAGGAATATTAACAATTATAGAACTTTCTGTCGTTGTATAAAAAAACATTTTAAAAACAGTGAATGATTCCGATTTGCATTGCAATTGGATTATTTGTCTTTTTTAACTTTTGTAGTTCTTGTATGATAATAGATTACTGTATATTTAGTATAATGTAGATAATTTTACAGGCGAAGAGCCATTCTGTTTGTAATGGATATACTGTGAATAAACCATTATTATTATTATTATTATTATTTCTGGAGATGGAGCACAAATGACTAGAACATAAAATTTTATTTTGATGAGCTTTGCCCTTTTGGAATCTGTGGATGATATTTTGGTAGCAAAGGGAAATCACATCATAGTGGTTGTAAAGGGCAAAGAAGACTATGCTCTATTAAGGCTCATCTACACAATGCGATTTTTGCATATGATTGTTGTATACAACTTGCTGATGCCATCCCTGCGACTTTGCGCCGTCTATCTAGATGTTACGATTTAGGTATGATTATTGCATGCGATTTTTCCAACCGAGAGATATATTAGGCCTGGTGCGAGATCTTTTGAAAACAAACTGGAAATTTTTCAAAACAAACTGGAAATTTCAAGCAAGGTATTTATAGCAATGGAGGCTAGTAAGCTTGCTTCACTTTAAGTATTGCGCTTATCATAAAACGAAGGAGAAAAAGGCGGAGAAGATCATTGTGGACCAGATAATGGTTAAAGAGGAACATTATCATCGATACTTGAGAATAGATACGTCAAAATTTGATGTATGTGTTTAGATAGATTTATGAAGCCATGTACATACAACTAAGTTTTCGTTGACGAATTTACTTGTTCAGATGCAAATTGCACAAGAAATTATGAGCTAAATGTGTGAGATATTTTGATAATGCAAAACAATGCAAACGTCGGTAAACAGTGCAATGTCAATGCTCACACTTTTGTGTCCTTGCTATAATTTTATACACCACTATAAATTATTTTAAAATTTCGCTAAACCATGTAGAATCTTCCACTGTTGTTAAAAACACGATTTAGTCGATCCTAGTCATGGTAAAGCCACATTTTTGTCCAGAATTTGAATTTTATATTTGTTTTGAGCTGTGACTGTGTACGCCGAGGTCCACGTTAATAATAAAATAGTTTCTCTCGTAAATTTATACTGTAGGTTTACTGTGTTCGTAAATGTATTTTTGTATTTTTTCAGTGTTGTAAATATCTTGTTATAATAACCCCCTCCCCAAACTTTCACTCATTATAAACATTGCTTTTAAACATTTTCAAATACTGCTTGCTGGAGAAAGTGGAGATGAAATTGACCAGGAAGGACACCAATATGAGGGAAGCAATACCATCTGGGGAAAGACTGGCATTATTGACTTTACGATTCTTGGCTACAGGAGAGTCCTATTCCAGCTTGCATTACCAATTCAGAATACCAGTATCATATATTGCCCTCATTGTGCCAGAAGTGTGCCAGGCTGTATTTGATGTCATGAAAGATGAATTTTTACACTTCCCTGAGAATGAAGAAGAACGGTTGGCAATAGCTGCTGGATTTGAAGATGTATGGCAACTTCCACATTGTGTTGGTGCTGCTGATGGAAAGCATGTTCGCATTCTACATCCTCGCAACAGTGGATCTGTTTTCTATAATTACAAGGGTTACTAGAGTATTCTCTTAATAGCTGTAGTTGATGCAATATTTGCTGATGTTGGATGTCAGGGTAGAATTAGTGATAGTGGGGTAATGAGGAATACCCTGGTCTGGTCTAAGCTGGTTAACAGCAAACTTAATCTACCCAAACCTAAGCCTCTTCCCTCTTCACATTGTTTCATCCTGACTCAAATGTTCCTATCCCATACTTCTTTGCCGGTAATGACGCTTTTCCTGTTGAGACAAGTGTCATGAAGCCTTTTGCCCAATGAGGCCTTTCTGAGGAAAGACGTATTTTTAACTACAGGCTTTCTCGGGGGAGACGGGTTAGTGAGAATGTCTTTGGAATTTTGTCGAATAGGTTTAGAGTGTATTCTACTGTTCTTTCCATTAAGCCTGATACACAGGCTTTAGGACAAATTCAATTTGACAACAATAGTATTCTATCTAAATAGCAGTTCAAATAAAGTGTACGGCACCTGAACTGTTCAATATCTTGCTTCTGTATCCATAAGACATTTACATATATGCAAATACTGTATATTTGCAAAATCCACCATATTTATTTACATTAGAACCCAAGCTTTCGCAGTTCACACGAAATATTATGTCATTCATTTGGTGATTTTCATTAATAATAAGAGGGTAGGATCATCCAATTATTTAATCGTTCGAAGCGCGAGGAAAGCATCACTTCCATATATGGCACAAACGTGTCCCCAACTTCCTTATATGGCACAAACGTGTCCCCAAAATCAGTTTATCGAAGTCGTTATAATGTCATAAGATTTCTCCCGCTCGGAACGATTTGAACAGGTCACATGGTACAGAATCCAGACAGCTGATTGGGTTAGCGAGTGACAACGCCCACTTTCATCCTACCCTCTTATTATTAGTGAAAATCACCGACGTTAATATTTCGTGTGAACCACGAAAGCTTGGGTTCTAATGTAAATAAATATGCAGATTTTGAAAATATACAGTATTTGCATAATATGTAAATTTTTTATGGATATAGAAGCAAGATATTGAACAGTTCAGGTGCCGTACACTTTATTTTAACTGCTATTTAGATAGAATACTATTGTTGTCAAATTGTATTTGTCCTAAAGCCTGTGCCTGATAATGCTGTTAAGGTGATACTTGCAACCTTGGCACTTCATAATTTCCTGAAAGCCAAAGTGCCAAACAGGTACATACCTAAGGGATCAGTCGATAGTGAAGATCAACTTGGTAGAACGAGAGATGGCAGTTGGAGAATTCATGATGTGGCAAGCAACCTAGCAGCCTTTCCAAATTCCAGAAAAGGCCGACCAGCCGTTAAGGCCGAGGAAATGCGAGAAATCCTTTGTGAACATTTTTATGGAGCTGGCCAAGTGCCTTGGCAATGGAACACCTTGATTTGACAATATGTATGACTATGTAGTATCAATACATGCAGTCAATTTTTAAAATATATTTATTGATTGACAATTATTAAACATTTAAATAATTATTTAGAATCAATTATTAATAAAAAAACATTTATTATATTAATATAAGTATTATAGTAACATCACAACATATCCAGAAATTAGTGATTAAATAACCGCACAAGCTGAGGAGGTTTGTGAATCCCAAAGGTTGACCTGAGCAACTTTCAAAAAATCTCCTGAAGCTTGCTTATGGAAATGTTATTGTGATATTAGTTTGTAATACCGTGTTTACCAAGGTGATGTATATTCTTCTGGGAATAAAAACATTGAAGCTGACTTTTTCATGCATTTTAATGGCAGACAAAAGAAACCCAGGTGATCATAGTATAATAGAAAATACATAATAATATATTAAAATATAATCCAATTCATAATCAACATAGACTTGACTGCATGCTCTGCATATACATGGTACACATGGTGTAAGCAGGGGAGGGCATTTTAACCCCAATTTAAATGGTGTTTCAAGGTGAAACTTGTTTTCAGGTTACTACTATATTGGTATATAGCTTTGATTGACTGTCCTCAGACACCACAAGTCCTTCATAATGCATTGCATGCAGTCAAAACAATTGAGATACAGTATTAAATTTTAATATTTATAACATGCAAATAAAATTTGTACATTAATTCAGACCTGCCAACCTCAGAGTGCCAGAAATCGTGAGTTGTATTTTACAAAGTCATGAGATTTTGTGAAAAACCGTGAGATTTCAGAAACCTCCAAGGTTGTCTTATTATTATGGATTAAATGTATCAAAAAGTCGGTTCTCTACTTAGCTAGTCGAATTTTAATAGTTGAAATATGTCTCTACTGAACATACTCCTCATATGTACTGTGTTTAGTATTGGAAATCTTGGAACAAAATTCAGTTTCATGATCATTTCATTGGAAACTGAGCGTGATGTTTCTACAAAATAAGTGAAAACAAGAGTCGCATTACCTGCTATATATGGCTATAAATACACTTTAATTAAACATACTTCCTCAAAAATCGTGAGATTTAAAAACTTTGTCGTGAGAAAGCAAAAACAAATTTATGTGAGTCTCATGACAAAACTGTGAGAGTTGGCAGGTCTGATTAATTTAATATTAAAATATTAAATAATATATGCAACACTGTATAAATATTTATTAAAAAAAAAGATATCTCCGGGTGTAAAAAAGGTTTTTATAAAATTGTATTCTCATCAAGTTCCAGCAATGTTGATCTTGATGGAGCACTATGAATAGCTTTTACAATGAGCTGCTGAATTTCTAATTTCAGCAACTTTTTCTGATATCCTTCAGGTACCTTTGTCAGCTGTTGGCCAATATACTTTGCCCATAATTCATCTGTTGAAGTTTCTTCTCTGGGCTTCTTGATTTCTTTAAGGCAGCTAGCCATCAATTCATCTTCCAGCTCAAGCTTCTTCTCCCTCTTTGATTTAGTCGAGGGGGCCGGGATTATCCACTTTGTACAGGCTGTTAACTTCGTTTGAACTTGCAGGGGCAGCAGGGTTGATGTCAACCAGATCTTCAGCTTCTTGGTCAAGTACAGTATTAAGTTGACTTTCCTTGTCAATATTTACAACGCTTTGCATCGTCAACTGTGTTTTCCTGGGGGTAATATTATCCCTCGGAAAATGTAGCATGTTGAAAAATGGCCATTTACTATTGTAGACTTCATTTCCTCCCCAGCCAGAGCTTCTGCTTTTCTTTTCCAAGTTCTCTGCCATAGTATGTCCTAAACCGAGACATTTTCTTCATAACATCTTCGACTGTTACACCTTAAAAATGGAAAGGAAAAGTACTTTATAAAAACAGTGTACTTATAATACTATAGAGTATGCTTGAAAAAAAGTCACATTGAATCTTAATATAAATAAAAAGCAATTTAATATATAACACAATCCGACATTGGTGAACAATATTAGTCCTGGGAAATGCCATTTACAAAAACTGGGACTGGATATAAATTTACTGAATTACTGGGTACGAAACGACAAAACAATTAAAATGTGTGTAATTAGATGCAAATAGTTCAAACTCTTACCCTCGAAGTCAGGTTCTTCAGTCAGCTGGTTAACTGCTGTCAATTTTGCGTCTCTCTTAAAATATTCTGTGTTCTTGCTGTCGTACAAAACTTCTCGCTTACTCCATGCATATATAAAAAATTCAACCTCTTCATTGTCAAAAACAGAACCCTGTTTCTTCTTTTTGTTTCATTTTGTCTTCTTGCTGTTCATGTCCGCCATTTTGAACTATTTTTTCACCAAAAATTGTATATAAGTCGCAGGATTTTAAAACAAGTTTTAAAATTTTTACGACTTTTTTGTGTTGCATAGGCCTGTCATAAGCAATTTATTTTATTAAAAAATTCTTCGGATCAGATTGGAATTCTTTATCAAAACTCGGATCGGATTCAGATTAGACAATTTCGGATCGGATTTTAAACATTAGGCAATTGTTGGATTATAAACATC